CCCCAAAACCCCAAAACCCCAAAACCCCGCTAAAAAAAAGATAGAATAATATTGGTAAATGGATAATTGAGTTAAAAGGATATTTGTTTGAATAATATCGCAATAATTAATACAAAATCTATAAGTTTATATATATGAGACTCTTTGCTTCTTCAATAGTCGCACTTACAGTTGTAGCTACTGTTACTGCTCAAAATGCAGGGAATGTGAAACAAAACTATCACCTACCAATGTCAATCCAAGTTTGCAGCCAAAATGGATCTTGCCAATATTAAAATTAGGCAATTACCATGGATGCTAACTGGAGATGGGCTCATAACATCGGCGGATATGATCAATGTGGAAAAGACACTCAGTATTGCCCCGATGAAAAGACCTGCGCTAAAAACTGCGCCTTGGAGGGAGTTGAGCAGAATGACTGGTCCAACACCTATGGTGTAAGGCCTGTTAGTAATGGAATTGAGATGCAATTTGTCGTAGGAAATAATGTCGGCTCTAGAACTTATTTACTAAACGGAGACAATTATTATATGTTCAAGCTAAAGAATAGAGAATTCTCTGTTGATATTGATGTATCTTAATTGCCTTGTGGTGTCAACGGAGCTCTCTATTTCGTTGAGATGGAAGAAGACGGAGGCCTGAAGCATCCAGGAAACAAAGCTGGTCCAAAGTTTGGAACTGGATATTGTGACGCCTAGTGTCCTCATGATATCAAGTGGATCCAGGGTGAAGCTAACTTTGGCACATACGGATCATGCTGCTCTGAGATGGATATTTGGGAAGCCAACAGTTTCGCGAATGCCTACACTCCACATACTTGCTAAACAGTTGGACCCAAGAGATGTACAGGAGCTGAGTGCGGAGATGGCTCTGATAGAAATGCTGGACTTTGTGACAAAGATGGCTGTGACATCAACCCATTCAGAGTTGGACTTCATGATTTCTATGGCCCAGGCTCTCAATATCAAATTGACACAACAAAGCCATTCACTGTTGCAACTTCATTCGTTACTCATGATGGAACTGATTCAGGCGACTTGAGTGAAATCAGAAGATACTTCGTCCAAAATGGCAAAAAGATTACCATTCCAAACTCCTCATTCCAAGGTCTGAGTGGATATAAATCAGACATTACAGATGATTACTGTGCTGCTGCTAGTGCTGTTTTCAACGGTCCTAACACCTTCAAGTCAAAGGGAGGTATGAAGCAAATGGGAGATTCCCTCGGCAGAGGAGTCGTTCTTGTAATGAGTATTTGGGATGATTTCACATCTCATATGCTTTGGCTTGATAGTGATGCACCTCTAGATGCTGACAACACCAAGCCAGGAGTCAAGAGAGGACCTTGTTCCAGAGATAGCGGAAACCCTAACGATATCAGATCTAGATACGGCTCAGCAACTGTTAAGTACTACAATGTTAAAGTTGGCCCAATCTCAAATAACTCAGCTGAAATGGAAGCTCAGTTCCTTTAATGATTTATGAAAATTTAATTTCTTGATATCAAGGATACAACTATCAAGATTCTATACCAAAACTTATCTTACTTATATTCTTTAACTATTAAAACACTTTCAATATAAACACAAAAATCAACAATTAGATATTTATTATTTAATGATTTCTATAATGGAGAAAATATCATATTTTATGGGGTTTTGGGGTTTTGGGGTTTTGGGG